CTCTCTCTCTGACTCTCTCTCTGACTCTCTCTCTCTCTGACGCGCTCTCCTATATGTACATACATATATATATATACATACATACATACATACATACATACATACATACATACATACATACATACACATATATGCACACACACACACACGCACACACATATGCTACCTCCTCCGGGACCTACCTTTTGACCGCTTTGTGCGCTGTTGGGCATAAATATGCATCATAACAATTACAAGGAATGCGGCACCATGATTGTGCTAGTACGCCGCTGCCATTTACATTCATTCAACTGCGTCTGCTACAACTCACCACTGCCGTGGCTAACATAACCGTGGACCTGCTGTAAGGATGACAACTTTCCCACGGAAGCGTCAATCATCTCCTGCTCCCGCCTCACCTCCTGGTCGTAATCCTGTCCATAAATCAAAACGCCGCTATAGCAGTGATAGTGGCCCGAGAAGGCTTGTCCTTTCGAGAAAGGTCTTTCTGCAAAGTGTCCAGCGCCACCCTATGAATGACAGCATCAGGCAGGCGGACGAAGAGGCCTGAGTCGGGGAGACAACGAAGAAGCTTGCGCGCTTCATGACAACCATCTTGTCCTTGATGTGGTCTCCTTCCAAAAAAGGGCTCTGTCAGCTCGAAACCAAACCGTCGGGGGGAGACGCTTGTTGTGGAAGCTTGATTTGTGCGTGGCTCGGCACCGATGTCAGTGGAACCCTCGGTGAGCTTGTCGTGGTCTGTCGACCCGGCCTGAGACTGCGATCGACGCAGGTCTCTAGCTTCGGTTCCAAAGAACCCCACCTCACATGTAAGCCGGTAGCCTGTTGAGAGCTGAATGGACAACCGTCTTGACTGCCCACGATGGCCTGGCCTAAAGACTGGCATGAAGCCTTGATAGGGCTGCAGCTGTATAAGCCGAAATGATCGCCACCTTAGCCGCAATAAGCGAGGGGATCCTGAACTGGATAGGTCGGACTCGACCATGGAAGCACGGCGTCAGACGAGACCAAAACAGACTTCGGGCCGGCCGCGATACAGGAACGGCAATCACCGTCGAGGAACTCCTTGAGGGCATGAGGTTCAGCTGGCTCGCGGTTATCGCGTTGTGGGCTCTCGCATGCACGAACCTGCCACCGATTGATGTCGGCGCAAGCAACAAGACAACGAAGGCAAAGAAGCACTACACAGGAGAAGTTTTAGGCGCGCTGCGTAACGGAAAGCAGCTAGATTTCTCACGTGATTCTCTCATGGGTACTTGTAGGATGAGACGCAACATGCTGTTCGGGGGCCACAAAGAAGGAAAGCAAGAGACGCTGCACCGACACTTGTTTTGTCATGTCGTGCTCCGGACAATGCATCAGCCCGCGTTGATGTTGAAATGTACGGTCCTTACAACATATTCCTGGCCTTGGCGAGAGCTCTCAGCACCCGGATGCTAGCACGGCGCATGCTTTTGTCCGTGAATCCCGATTCCAACATGGACAAAGCACACTCGTAGGAATCGTGGAAGTCGCTTGGTCCTGGAAGTTCACTATTGCACGGATTCCAACGACGATGACGGGGAACTGGCGGATAAATCATCGGGGTCGCTGCCGTCGCCGTGGCCTTTATCCTTGTGGGTATGCTGCTCTTCCGAAACGGCGACCGCATCCGCCTTGTCAGTGACCTCCCCACCCCAGGACCAGCAACATATACAAGTTTAGGCCTCAGTCTTGCTAAAACTGACGAAGCTAGGTCCCTCGGTGGTAGGGTGCCGTCCACATATACATGAATACATACGTACATGCGTGTATATATATATATATACACACACACACTTATGTATGATGTATGTATGTATGCATGCATGTATGCATACATGCATATGTATATATATATATATACACATATCCATACACGCACACTCATATATATATATATATATATATACACACATAGGTGTATATTTATATATATATATATATATACACACACACACGTACATAGTACCCCCCAGCCCCCCCCAAAACAAAGAATACTGAAATCAAATAGCCCTAAGCCCCCAACTGACAACCCGAACCCAGGCCCTCAGCCAACTGAGCCGTTGGCATCGATGAGTGTGTGCCCACCGGCTTTGATCACCTTTCTTGGACTGTCAAGGCTCAGGGTATGGGGTTTAGGGTTCAGGGTTTGGGGTTTTGGCATTTTGGGTTTGTCGCGTTCGTATGTCAAGCTTTGGGGCTTTGACTAGGACGAGCTCATCCAGCGCCACTCGAGGGTGGCAAAGGCTGACAAAGCCCCACGCAACTAGGCCGATCATGCTCGCCCAGAGTCCAGGCCAGCCCACTTGATGCCAGTGATGCCAAGCAATGCGGCGAGTGGGCGTGCTTGGCGAAATAGCTGCAGCCAGGGTCCTAGTTGCCAACTAGGGTTCGAGCTGTTTCATGGGCGTTGGGGCTTAAGGCTAAAACTGTGTGGAATTTTGGCTCTTAGAGCCCTTGGTTTGGTGTTGCCCAAGGATATGTGGAACCTTTGCAAACACAACCAAGCCAGGAATGCAAAGCAAGCTTGAACCCTAAACCCTAAACCCTCTGTGCCGGAAACCTTAACCCTAAACCCTATGTACCGAAAACCTTAAACCCTGAACCCTATGTACCGGAAACCTTAAACCCTGAACCCTATCTACCGGAAACCTTAAACCCTGAACCCTATGTGCCGGACAGAAGGATAAGGGCCTTAATAATTAGAAGAGGGTTTTGGGGCCCAGTTAAAGGGGTTCTATAAGGGTACTTTAGGGTTTAGGGTTTAATATAGGGCCTGAATAACTAGAATAGGGTTTTGGGGCCCATTATACTATTTTAATTTTTAAGAGGGAACCACCAAAATAGTATAGGCCCTAAACCCTAAACCCTATAGGTAATGATTGGGGTACTCGTCTTGAACTTGAGACCCGAAGTCCAGGACCCTCAAAACCCGAAGCCGCAGGCCCTAAACCCCCCAAACATTACTAAAAAAACAACACAAACAAGTCATATACTGTAGGGGCCTTAATAGTTAGAATTGAATAGGGTTTCGGGGCCCGTTCTACTATAATTATAATAAGGAGCCCCCCCAAAATAGTTTAGGTAATTATAAAGGCCCCTACATTACATTCCTAAACCCTAGATCATCCCTAGGCCCTGAACCGTAAACCAACACCTCTTGCAAGCACATCCGAACCCTAAACCCCAAACCCCTAAACCCTAAACCCTAAACCCCCAAAAGCCCTAAACCCCTAGACCCCTGAAGCCCTAAACCACTAAAGCCCTAAACCCCTAAGCCCTAAACCGAACCATCTCCTTTTCTGAAGAGCCTTAGCAGCTGCACGCGCAGGCACTGCGAATCGGAGCCCTGAATTCTTGAACGGCGAAGACGCTCTGTCAAAGGAAACAAAGGTGGGGAGTTTAGGGTTTAGGGTTTAGGGAACAGGTGGGGAGTTTAGGGTTTAGGGTTTAGGGGTTAGGGTTGAGGGTATATAGGGCTTCTATAAGGCTTCCATAAGGTATAGAGTATATATTGACCTTCTTCAAGGCTCCTATAACGGTAGCTACCCACCCGAAAATGTCTTAGACTCTAAACCCTAAACCCTAAAACCCTAAACCCAAAACCCTAAAACCTAACCGTCCTAGGCTCTGTCATACATGGAACAATCCTGGAAGCTGCTGGGAATTCAGGGTCTAAGAGACGCTGCCCAAAGGTTTAGGGTTTAGGGTTTAGGGTTTAGGGCCTAAACCAGGGTTTTGGGGGCTCTTCTGGGGTTTAGGCTTAGGGTTTTGGGGTTTAAGGGTTCCTTTCAGGGGTTCTATAAGCGTACTTTAAGGTTTTGGATTTGATATAGGGCCTTAATAATTAGAACAAGGTTTTGGGGCCCAGTATACTATGATAATTATGAACAAGGAACCCCAAAATAGTATAGGTAATTATTAAGGCCCCTAAATCAAACCCTAAATGGGAGCTTCCCATTAAAAAACAAAACCGAGGTACGGGCATCCCGATAACGAGGACACAAAAGACCCCTAACTTTGCGAAGCCCCGGTTAATGTACGGGCCTTAATAATTAGAACAGGGTGTTGGGGTATACTATACTCTGATTATAATAAGGACCCCCCCCCCAAAAAAAAAAGGTATAGGTAATTATTGAGGCCCCCATGTTACACCCATGTAAAAGACATTTTGACAACCGAAACAGGGACTTCTGCTAGAACCGCTTCCTCAGCCCCTGGCTGGAAACATGATCCGTGGCCTGACTGCAAGCTGTCGGCTCGAATTCAGGGGCGTAGAATGTACGGCTAGTTATCCTTAAACCCTGAACCCCTAAAACTGTGGCTATGAGCAAGGTATCTGTATTCTAGGGTTTAGGGTTTTCGGTTTAGGGTTTAATTATCCCTCAACCCGAAAACTGTGGCTATGCGCAAGGTATCTGCAGCTTCACCTGCCTGGATCGGGTCGCTTGGGTTTGGTTTGGGCTCTGGCAACCCGGGCGCGCCCAAGGGAGTCTACAAGCCTTGCCTTGCAAAAGCCTAAAGGCCTAAAGTCCACAATATAGGGTTTAGGGTTTAGGGCCTTAATAACTGCCTATACTATTATTTGGGGGTTCCTTATTAGAACTATAGCAAACAAAACCCGAAACCCTATTCTAATTATTAAGGCCACTACATTATGCCAGGACGCCCCACAAGTTACCTTGTAGTGGAGTGCTTGGGGTCTCTTATTTTTGGTATTTGTGCAAGACAGGTTGTCCTTTCAAGGGGATCTAGATACATTCTGAACGGTAAAAAGTTCGAAGTCAGCTAAGGGCAGGAAAGGGATCCAACATGTTGCATTATGAACGTAAGGCCTGAAAAATTAGAGTTGGATTTTGGGATATCCAGAAACACAAGGGGATACTATTCGCAACTTTACACAACTCCAGTCGCAGAGCATCGACTGAGGAAGCCACCAGAAGTAGGTCTTCTCATGTGGGGTGGGCCTCGGCTACTTGGGCGATTCTCGAATTTCCGGGCGTTCCTGGTTTAGGGTTTAGGGGATTGGGCGTCTGTTGGGTGTCTATACCCGGGCCCCTTAGCTCCTGAAACTCCCCCCTCCGCGCGAAATGGAGGCTAAATCGAGCATGGAAGTCTCTCTTTGAAGTTTAGGGTTGCAGATGAGTGAGTAATCAGGGACCCCCAAAATAGTATTGGTAATTATTCAGACCACTATATTAATGTTCTTAAAAGACGCTTGCGGGCTTCAGAGAGCTAAGGACGCCGGCAGCAGTTCTCAGACTGGTTCGATCCTAGGATTTTTGCATCCCGCGGATGGTAACATGAATACCCACATCATCCACATCAGCATCGTCATCATGAACGTCATCCTCATCCACATCGTCATCACCTCCATCGCCATGGTACTCTGCAGGCTGCTGGCTAGTTGGATGCCCTGGTTGAGCTCTTGGCTGGAAAACCATGCGAGTGACATCGTTTCGTTCAAGGCAGCTACATTAGCTACACTACTGCTCGACCCAACGGACTGCTGCCTCGAGGGTCAAAATTTTCTTTGCGGTTTGTGGGCATAGTTGTTTTGTTTTTTGTTGTTGTAAAATGTGTGTTTTCGAACAGGCTGGTGGCCATTTCGAAGCCCACCACTAAGCAGTGGAGCTGGAAGCCTTAGCCGTGAGACCATGAGGTCAACGGCCAGCAGATGTGGGATCCATAGATTTTGTGGAATAGCGGCAACGAGTGTAGACCACATGAGAGGAGTGTGGGCTCAATTCCTGAGTTAATCCGCGGTGCTAGCGTGCTGCCTCATCTGCCTCGGGGTCTGAGGTTTTATCCTCAGCAGGGGGGTGGCCACGATGGCACTCGGCGGCCGCTGCAGCCCCCGAAGAAGAGCCTTAACAGGAGTCAGACAAAGTATTCTCCTCGAGCAGGCGCTCCCAAAGCATCGCGACACGACCCGCGCCAAGCTTCCGCACTACGTAGTAGATCTCGTCGCCGTGGACTTGATGCAGCAGCAGCTGGCGCTGATCGATGACACGACCACCGGATGTCAGAACAAGTAAACCTGCAGGGTGGCCAGCTCCGGCTGCGATGCGTTCCGCTACTTCTCACCCAATTTCGGCAAGCAATGAACGCTCACTGTGGGACGCTCAGGATCTGTTCCATGGTGCCTTCGGACGCATGCAATCGGCCATGCCGTTGGCGGCGTTTCCCTGAGGCGCTAAGATGAGAAGTCCGGTAGTTTCCAAGTTTAGGGCGGAGGGTTTCTGAAAGCTCCCAAAACGGCTCCCCATCTTCTACGCTTGGCTGGAGCTGCAGCAACACGAACCAACCAACCACAACCACAAGCACAGCAACCACAACAACCAA